ATGCATTCTTTTGGAAGGGAAATTCCTGTTCAGACCAGGTTTTCACTCCTCACTGGATCAATGAGAAATGACCACAATTCAATTAGCGTTTTTGCCAGTTTCTTCGGATTTACTGGCTCAATAATTACGGCACGCTTCAATGAGGAAGTCTATGGTTCTGACGACAAGAAGGAAACATGTACATGAAGGCATTGGGTGGAATCTTGCATATGTATCAAAACCCTGATGATTACAGAAGTGGAACCCTTTTCGAGGAATGAGTGCATTGAACTGAACGATCATAATCTAGAATTAAAGAATGAAAGGAACTCTGTAATCGTTGAAATGTCGGTCCTCCTGAACGATTTATAACCTTTTATCCATGCTTCCGGCGGTGAACTTCATGATCTCGGTCACGAGGCCGTTATCACGAGGCTAGGTTTCGAATTCACAAACGTTATGCCATTAACTTTGCGCTACACTGATACTGCTTTATCATCATCCGTTTTCTGCAATATCCAATTCGTCTCAGATGGGTGATTTGGAATGAGCGAAATGAAGCACATGGCTGCTGAACGCTTCTACAGCCAGGGAACTGATCGAAATATATGCTTTCCAAATGGCTAGACTGTCTTACGAAAATGCATGCATTTTTTGAGACGTTTGCTCGAGCTCCGAGAACAGCGTTCTTCGTCTGGGAAAACGAGTGTTCACTTCTTGTGGCGTTGAACGATAAATAACGGCGCTGGGATTCCAGTTGCCAATCGATGATTTCAGAAAGGCGTTCAACAAGAATTTATGCACTCTACATAAGTACAGTAATAATGACGATGGACAGGATGCAATGGTGAAATGAATGAATGCATAACGTGCAACTGAAGAACTGTGTTGGCCAGTTGTCAGTCATGATGCACTAAACGCATAAGCCAAAATTTTCCTTAGAGATTCCGAATCTCGGAAATAAACAAAATTTAAGAAGCCCCTGGAAGAAGTTGTGTACTCTCAGAAATGAACCATGAAACATAAGAGAAACCTTTTCGTAATAATGTCCGTTAACCAGGGCTCATTTCTTAACTCAAACTAATCAGAGTACTCTCATTCAGTGGCAGAAGGATGAACTGCTACAGGTAAAGGAGCCATTCTCACAATGAGGTAAAATATCCTATGTATGGAGAGGTGAAATCATGAGATCCGTCAAATATAAGGTGAAAATGCAAAACTGATCATGGTGCTTTCTTCTTCACAGCAGATTTCTAGAATTCAATGATATACTCATGGCATGTTTCTGTTTGAGCAAGTTCTATATGAGCATCAGTATTTGGGTCGAGCAAACATTGGATATTGCAAAAATGCATGGTGACACTGCTCATGCTAAACCAACTGCTTTTTCGGCGTGTCTGCGTGTGGCTAGCCATTGCAATACTGTGAATCCGAAAGTTGTGCATTATAATCATGTCAGGTTTTAAATAATCGCAGCAATTTCGTTCTTACGGTACGACAGGCCAGAATTGTCACATCTATCAACAGAAGAGATACGAGTTTATGGGAAGAAAGGACAATGGAAAATATTGAGGCGAGAAAGAAATCGAGTTCAGAAGATCTTATGTGATTTACCGTTTGCTCAATGACTGATTGACATTCAATACGTCAGTTTTTTTTTGTTTAAGTTTTAGCCTAACCTAAAACGAAATATTTGGCATCTTGAAACCGATTTCAACAGAAAGTCGTGAAGGTTGTAGGGCTTCACTGCCTCAGTGGAATCGTTGACTAATTCAACTTTTCAGTAACAGTGTTGTTGAAGCATAACACAGTTGGCACAGGGTTTGAGCATTGTTTTAAGCTAGCCAATTTCAGTTAACGGTCGCAGTTAATCGCAGAGTAACAAATATTGAACAGCCGTGATCACCGTCCGTAGTTAATTACTGACTAATTGACTTATGCTCTGCAACAACACCATTTGATGCTTTGGCAATGCTTTAAAATTAGGCTATTTTAGACCTGATCCCAATATTTCAAGCAGCAGAACCAATTTTATAACTTCCATTTCAGACGTCGACGAAAATTTCAATTATTCGTGAAGGTTAGTTTATGCTACTGCTTAATAGAATAGTACCAATCTTTCTAAGGAATTAGGTGGCACCAGAGTGGCTGATATGGCGTGGAACTGAAGTCTAAAATTCCTGGGTTTCAGCAAGGCAAAATCAATCGACGTTCATCCTCCTGAAGAGCATAAATGAGTGCTTTGCCCTAGAAGGAAACATGAGAACATACACCTGCGTGTTGTTATTATTTTAAGAGGAAATAAGCTGAAAAGCACTCTTAACTAATGATAGGGTAACAGTAA